GGTTCAAACCCCACTGCAGTCAACATGCCGTTGTTTCCCTGAGACACTTCACCCCAAATTGCTCCTGTGGGGATTGCCCACAGTATTGAGTATGTAAGTCGCTTTGGATAAAAGCGTCTAACAAGTAACATGTCATTAATCATGATTACGTGTATTTGTTTTAACTCCCCCCCCAAAATACAAGTAAACAAGGTGAGAAATTGTGTAATAATGTCATGCATGACAAACTGGTAAAAGACATTGGGGGACATTTTTACTTTATTTTTAACGTTTCAGATTTTGTTATTATTAGTATGAAGTCTGAACATTTTCCAAAACGCAGCTAAAGCGTCTACAAAGCCGCTGTTACGGAGAGCCTCTGTGAGTAGACCTCTGTATAATGTGTGCTAGCTCCATCTGCTCCTACAGTGGTGACTGTCCACTATCACTTCTATACTAAACCATTTCAACAAACTGACACATGCTTTAGCAAAATGCCTTTCCCCTGTTTTCACCACACCTAAAGCAAGCAAGTGCAGAACATTAGTCATGGATCAGGTGTGCCGTTACAGCGGGGTAGTGTGGGTTATTACTGATGTCTAGTGGTCTCCAGTCAGTGCCATACATGTAGTTTGTTCCATTTGCTTTCTTTGCCTTTTAACTGCAATACAATTCATTGTACAAATCTGTGCTGGAATTACTGGAGGAAGTGGGGGTAAAACTAGGCTATGTGGTTAATCTGAGGTTTTTTTATGGGTGTTAAGGTTTCCGGATTTACCGAGCCTAGTCCCCATAGACAGAGCTGCCTCCGAAAAAAGGGGCCAGTAGCTTATTTCCAAGTGACTAAAATTACACAAACATTCATGAAAGCATGTTATGTTTGTCATATTACATTTCCGCAAATAGATCCCTTTCAGTACAAAACACTGGTCCTTTAAAAGCTGTGCTTTTGAGAAAGATGCTCAGTGTGCACTTGTTTTTTTGTATTGTGTGTGCGAGAGAAGAACTGTGTCCCTGTATGTGTGTATGATACCTTGACGATGGGCAACCACATGTCCTTGGAGGCGGAGAAGCCGTGCAGAAGCAGCAGCGATGGCGTGGCCCCCCCCGGCGTCCCGCGGCTGCTGTAACAGAAGCGGTAACTTCCACTCTTACAGTACCGGATCACCAGCCCCAGCCTGCGACGCATGTACCTGAGGAGGATCACAGGCAGAGATGATCTGTCATCTGAATCTGCCCCTCTAGCTAGAGACCTAGCAGTAAACTGCAACTCAAAGTTCAAGTTCTTAATTTGTCCCTGAGGGGGGATTAGTTCTGCTGATGTAGCATGAAAACAACAGCAACACAGGACAAGACACAAGCTAAAAAACAAACTACACTATCACTCATAAAACACATGAAAACGAATGACGGGGGAACACATGAAATACAAAGAGTTTAGAAAAAAGTTAAGACAGAAAGAAAGAAAGAAAGAAAGAAAGAAAGAAAGAAAGAGAAGGAAAGAAAGAAAGAAAGAAATGCACAAGTACCTAATATCTCTGAGGAAATCTAAACTTCTCCTGTATCATCTTTTGTTTTTCCTGTTAGTCAAATTGTGATAACACAATTTAAAGCCTGATTACATTTTATTTAATGATAGTTTTCTGTAACCGAGCATTTTATTCAAGTCACAAAAACCCCTATTACATCACTGTGACTCAGCACTTACAAAGGGTTTGTGTGTGTGTGTGTGTGTGTGTGTGTGTGTGTGTGTGTGTGTGTGTGTGTGTGTGTGTGTGTGTGTGTGTGTGTGTGTGTGTGTGTGTGTGTGTGTGTAACTGGGTGAAAGAGCACTGCCAATCCGACCAACAAGTATTCTGTTTCCTTTTTTACAGCTTTAACAGTCCAAGTCCGATAGGCCAAGGCACACCAACATATCTGCTCTTTCAAAATAAAAGCGTATTTCAGAGGCTTCATCCGGACAGATTCACTCGTGGCTGAAGACTTTTCTTTTTGCCGCTGCTTTTAATTGAACTATTCATATCTTAAACTGTACTGTAACTTTTATCCATGTATTTTTTCTTTTAATGTTTATTTTATTATCTTTGCTTTTAAATGCCATTTTCTTAATGTCTTTCATTTTTGTAAAGCAATTGCCTTGTGTTGAAAGCCGCTGTATAAATAAACTTGCCTTGCGTTGCCTATTATAATAGAATATGTTTGACTTATTGTTATTTATTTAAATATAAAATCCATTATGTTGCAAATGGGAAATGTTAATATTAACTTAAAAATATATTATTATAGTAGGTATTTTAATATATTTTATATAAATTGTTATTGCTGATCCCAGTGAGGAACAGACTGTCTTTTCTTAGAAACTATTTTTGAAAGTTTGAGAGTACAGAGGACTGAGTGAGAGTTTTATCACATGGAGGAGAAGCAACCACCTGAAGCTTAATATGTGCAAAACCATTATCTGGTTGTGGTAGACGAGCAGAGGAAGGCTTCACGTCCATGGGCAAATCAACAAACATTCAAGTTTTAATTTGTATCTTTGGGGTGATTTTGGAAACTCCTCTGAGCAAGGAAGGAAAGAAATCGTTTACCCTCAGGATGAGATGTGGTTGACCTATGCTTACACATACTGTAGCACGGATGTGTTGATAACAAATTAACTTTGAGTTATACTGTAGACATTGAAATTGAAATTCTTTACCCGAAGAAAAATACAAAAACAAATAATATTTAAAAAAATGATATATATATATATATATACACACGTATATATATAATAAAATTAATGAAAAAAAAAAAATAGAAAATTAACTTTACTGTAACAACACTGCTATATGCAATATATACTTTACAAATATGTATTATGTTGTTACTGGCTACTCATTTTTAACCATGGTTGTTTACTTATTTCATTTTATAAATTGTACTTGCTTTTTGTTTGCCCTGCCCCATTGCTGTAACAATGTCAACCTCCCCGCTATTGGACAAATGAATGATTTCTGATTCAGATGTTTTATCTAAATAACATTATGATGTTACAGTGACCTTGCCATTTGACGTTTCACTGCCAACATCTAATCAGTTTGACCTTGAGTCCAAGAGGATGTATGTGAATAATACCCTGAAGGCAATCCTGAGATATTATGTTCACAAGAATGGGATGGTCGTCCTTTAAACATAATGCGTCCAATGATGCAACCCTCGAACACAGAGGTGCTGGTTTTGGAAAAATGAACAAATCCTCAGGTTACTATCAGATCTTGGAAGGACCCCTGATTAAAACCTGTAAAAATACGGAATGAAGCAGTTTCATCTTGTTGTTTTTTGCTCCAACTGTGTTTGGCTGCAACATTAGCTCCACTTTTTTTCTTTGACAACTTACGTTGGATGTCTAGTGAAAAAATCCAACAACCAAGACCTAATTGCTGGACTGTGTCTCACCACCATGTAAAAAGTAAATTTATGACAAAAACCACAAAGCGTGAAAATATGTTGCCACTACAGACAACCAAATGTAACAAATGGCTCCTTTGATTATAAGTGTGGCTTTCCCTAGGTTTCAAAATGGTTGAAAACACTGGGGTAATATAATAAGTACACAATTATTTTTTTATTATTATTATTACTTGTTCTTTTCTAATTATTATTTTTTTTTATTGGTTTTTCAGTTGAATTATACTTAAAGTTCAGGGTAATCAACTGCTAAAAACATACTGTTCACATTTTTTTTCTCCAATAAATTGATGTTTTCTAAGTAAATGGATAATCGTTTTTAATAATCGTGATATCAATTATTGACCCAAATAATCGAGATTATGATTTTTGCCATAATCGAGCAGCCCTACAATCAACAGACTATTACCAGTCTAACCAGTGTGTGTGAGTGTGTTTACCAGTTGTAAGCTTTAAGGAGGGATCCAGGCCAGAACATGAAGGAGTAGATGAACGCGAAGACTGGGAGAACCAGAATACATCCTGATATCATTATCATCTCCATGGCGGCACACCCTTTCAAAAATAAAACACACAAAAATACATCATCATCAATACAAGCATTTGAGTTCAGTAAACCCAGTAAGTTATCATTTTGGCTCTCATAAGTCATGAATCTGTCTCTATAAACATTGACCAGTGTGTGTTATACACCATTAAAGAAAGGACTGGTCAATATATCTACATTGTATCAAAAATCTCATTGGGTATTGGTAAATATTTTGTGAAAGCACCAATACTAAACCCTACGGTTTCTTTGCTATGTTGTTATCACATAAAATGTTGTGACATTCTTATACACCATTTTGAATTATTATAAAGTGTTTAAAATGAGCTTGAATGCAATCAGACGAGAAGCATTTTCTTCTCGCTGCATTTAGAAAAAAAAAACCTTGCATTAAAATAGATTAATCTCAAAAAGAGAAGAGCTTAATAGTTGTTAGACTGCTCATAATTTCATGATTTTACCGAAGAAAATGTTACTTTTTATGTTAACCTGGCATTATTCAAGTTTTATGTGAATTTGCCTCGAAATGTACTGACCTATATATTGCTTTGATTGTTTTACTGTAGGCCTATTGCTTATATTCAACTTGAAAATGAACTCAAACAAAAAAGACGGTGGCATTTACAAACCGGCGGTGTGTACACTGTACAGTAAAGTATAGCGGAAGACCGAACTTCCCTTTAACAACATGAACGCTGGTTTCCTTTAAGTTTCAACATACATATTTCTATATTTTATACATAAGGTTTGACGGTAGGAGGAATGAATTGTCTTTTTGAAAAGCCGCAACAAATATTACATTTGAACTGACAGGTATCCTGGTTATGAGTGTCTTTTGAAAACCTCACATCTCAAACAGGTTCACAGCATGCAGGTTCAACCAGCACTAGGAATAACACAGCCAGCGTCTGCATATGAAACATGAATATCATACAGCATGTATCACCTGAGGGGAAGTAGCACCGTACCTGTCCGAGTCCTCTTCGCTCTGTCACCGCCTGACGTCCTCCATGCACTCCTCCTATTCCTCCTCCTCCTCCTCCTCTTTCACCCACATTACACAACAGCCTATCATCTCACTTAAAGGGAAAGTCCTGTGCTGCGTTTAGGCACCGTCGGAAATATCACACACCTAAATTATACCTGTTTAACATGGAACAACTGTTGCATTTTAACTGGATATTCTTCATTTATAAAAGTATCAACTTTAAACTTTATAAAAGTGTACCCATTCCTCTGTTTGTATTTATTGTTAACAGTCTACATATATATAGTATTTGAACAGCACATATATAAATATATAGTATTATTATTATTATATATATCAATTTTAATAATTTATGTTTTGATGTGTTCATCACTTTATCATGTGTTTTACTTTTTAACAGGTATTACAATACTGCTGGGTAGCTTGTGAATGTTTCCAATGGTTCCATAACGTTTTCTTAATGTATAATAAAACGTAAAATATAATTTGTTGGTTTATTTTATATTATTAATTAGAATCTTCAAAGCTGTCAAATAAATTCAGTGGTGTAAAAATGAAAATATTTCCCCCGAAATTATAGTGAAGTAAAAATGACTGAGTGCCTCAACATGAAGGACTCGAGGTCTGCTTCACATTTACATTTGAAAGTTGAAGCTCCAGTTCATGTTGAACCTTCAAATAAATCCATAATCACATTGAGGTACTTGAAGATTGACCCACCTTTGATCGATGCACCCATTAAAGTAACGTAAATGCATCAAGAATCATTGTCAAATAATATGATTTGTAATATGTAATTATGCATGATAAGTGCTTTTGATACTTTGATTAGATTTTTAATATTTCTTGCGTTAAGTTAAGTTCAGGACTTTTATAGTTGACAGAGTATTTCTAAACTGTGGTATCACTATTTTAACTGGTAACACATCCGAATATTTCATTACCTTTGTCAAATTGTTTATATTCTAACAATAAACCGATGAACATTACAAACATTATCAAAGTGTTGAGACACTTTTATTGGTTCTCAGAGGCCACAGTTATTTGTCACCAGGGCTCAACTCAAGGATAGAAAAAGTCAGAAATAAATAGAAAATTAAACATTAAATAACAATAGTAGGATCTTTAAAACTAAAACAAGCATAGCAATAAAACACAATCAGCAGTTGTATGTCAATTGAGTATGTATATAACATGATTAACCATATGTAATATGATTAGGTAATGAAGTCTGCTTGGTTATAGAAGCAGAGGAAATGATCTCAGTCTTGCATATCCTCTGATGACGCTGGGTGCTATTAAAGGCCATAAAACTCTGCAGACCAAATAGTGGGACTCAAAATATCCTTTTCTGGGTTTTTATTCATGGTTCAAGAAGTGCAGTCAGACGGTCCGCCGGGTGATGTAACTACAGAGGAACGCTGGCCGGGAAACAAGAAATACTTCAAATACCTGCTACACACACCACACGCACACACACAACCACACCCACGCAGACACACGCAGACACACACACACACACACACACACACACACACACACACACACACACACAAACCCTTTGTAAAACTTTAAAAAAGAGCTCTGCTTCAGGTTTGGGTCGCCTGATTACATTCAACATGAACTAGTGATTTCCTGATTCAACTCTATTTAAAAAATGGTAACAGATAACAGGAAGTTCAATCAGAAATGGCTTTTATTCAGCTGTGAAAACATCATCATATGCAAAAATCTCTTCATTTTCTCTTCTCTCTTTAAAGAAAACACGCCATGCAACTATAACCTGGTGTGAGATTATCTTTAATCCCTACAGGTGAAGACATTTAATTATTTCATGAACAGAATCACTTCTGATTTAAAGAGGACCTATTCTGCTCATTTTCATGTTCCTATTTGTATTTAGTGTCTCTACTGTGACATGTTTCAATGCTTTAATGTTCAAAAAGCTCTTTATTTTTCTCATACTGCCTGTGCTGCAGCACCTATATTCACCCTCTGTCTGAAACCAGAGCCCAGTCTGCTCTGATTGGTTACTCCCTCTGGAGGCAACTTTGGGATTTTAGCCTTTGCAGACGATTTGCATGCAACAAACCTATATAACACACGACAGGAAAGGAAAACCAAAAAAGTATAATAAAGAATATGAATGAAATGTTACTGTATTAAAGAGGCCCTCTTTAATACAGTAACATTTCATTCATATTTTTCAGTTTTACTGTGAAATTCAGTTATAAGTATAATCTTATAATGCTGTAATTTATATTAACAGCATAGTTAATAATTTATCTAGGAATTCCTTATTTTATCTTTTCAGAAAAACAGATTTTTTGTTCACAGACTTATAGAAATCCTTGACCGTCATTTTACCTTGACAAAGTTTAACAGCTCATCTCGTGTTCATATAAAACTTGTATTATTTACCGAGCTAGGCTCACACTTCCAGTTTTTGTGCTAAGCTAGGCAAAACATTTCAAACTGACACACACAATTACAACTTTAAAAATGAAATTCCTTGTTATATTTCACTGTATCATCTTGCAACCCTATCACCTGAAAATGCTGTTCACATAAGAATCTGCATCTATCCTTTATTTTTATTGTACATTGTATTCAACAGTGTTTTTTCTATATGCAACATATTTACCTAGTAACACTACTAGCTAAAATATTTTCCTTGTTTCTAAAAAAATGGCATTTTGCTTTAAAAACGTTTTTGAAGGATAAAGACTAAGCAAATGTATTTATTATATTAGGTTAGATGCTGTATGACTTTTAGTTTTGAATTCTGCCTTCTGCATGTCCAGTTCCCTATGTTTTAAGTCAAATAATTGGATCATTCCTAAAATGACACACAAATCTGATTCTGCTTCTGTTTTTATCTAAAACCATCTGGCTCCAGTCACTGTCAGTTCTTGAAGTGCTATAATAAATCCACCAGTAAGTACTTTAAACACTTCTGTGTCAACTAAACATTCCCTTAAGTACTTAAAGCAGTAGGCTCGACTGAGAGTGCTTAAACGTCAGCTAGACATCTTAAGTATGTTAAACATTGATACATCATCTGGAGTATTTTAAATACTTGTCAAATGAAAATAAAATGTAATGACTTTAAGTGCTACTAATTCTGTACTATTTTGTTACTCATTTCATGTATTTGTATATAACAGGCAAACCACCACAGTCGATATCAGATTTACAGTTTTGTTTTTTTCTGTCTTTTTTTACCCTATAATTCTGTTTTTGAGCAGTGCTAAGTCTTTTAAATCACCATATTGAGTCAACACTGTGTCTCAGTGCTGACAGGGTGTATCCAGGTTTTGTCCGCACTTCCAGCAGCAGTAATGCTGATGATGCCAAGTTCTTCCATCTTTCCCCGTGTGAAAAGACTGACAGAAGATCAACTGAGGGAGGAGAAACAGGACAAAACAGATACGTTTATTTTGCAATTGGAGAATAAAGTTAAGGTCAAGATTACAGTTGAATTCTTCAATGTTTGAATCAGGCAAAAGAAAAAAGAAATGCAAAAATATATGGTTTTTTTTCTTTTTGAGAAAAGAGTTAAGAATGCTAATGAGCAGTAAATATAACTGTAGCTGTTCCAATAGCCTGTTTAAATGTATATTGATGTGCCATCAGGGCAAGCAAGGCCTTCTCTCCTGGCCTAAACACGGTCAGAATCACTGACTAACCTTTTAATATCGTTTTTTCATTAACAAGTTTTTAATTATTTCCAATAGTCTATTCTCTTCATTGTATGGCTTTTCTCTGTGTTTCGTGCGGTTGCGCTGCGTCCAGGGCCGCCCCTCCCTACAGGCCGATCACGCAGACTGCGTGGGGCCTCACCTCGCAGAGGGGGCCTCACCTCGTGGAGGGGGCCTCATCTTGCGGAGGGGGCCTCATCTTGCGGAGGGTTCTTCATTTTGCGTGGGGCCACAAGTTGGCCAGGGGCGGCCAGTAATGGTTGTTGGAGCTGTTATCCAATCACATTTAAGTCAGAATGTGTTGCAGGGTCAAATAAACCAGCCTGAGACCTTCAGAATCAACAGTGCAAGCCTTGTAGCTTAAAATAAATGGCAACGTAACTGTTGCATTGACCAATCACATTATGGTGATTGGTCAATCCTTAGGGCCATCTAGCAGGCGTACGATGACGTCAGCATTTTCACGGGCCACTACTGTTTATAGTTAATAGCTGCATAATTCTTGCTTTTCTGTATTTGTATCCTCGTGGTTGATAGCATTTATAAGGCGTTGTGGATAAAAGCGTTAAAGACCCATTTATGATGCTAACAATCTTTGTTCAGCAGGATAATCTGTACATAAAAACATCACTTTTATGATTCTTGAAGCGTAAATGCAATCGCCAGAAGTAAATGGCTTACGTTACCATCACCACGTTACATCACCACTGCTAAGCTAAAGGCGGCTAACTGTCTGTGTGATGATGTTTTAGCAGTCTCTTTTAGTCATTTGGTAGCAACCGCCGTTTTAATTACATTAAAGCTTCAGACATTCACCAGTGGGGTATTTACTGACACATTTTATGTTGTAGGGCAAAATGTGAACATCTCTTCTCTTGTGTTAACCACAGACCTTATTTGAGGTATCTGACCACTGACCAGATACAAAATCTAATTTTCTTTGACAATGTAGCGGGAAAGGAAGTGTACGTGAAGGGTCTCACCTCATCACAGCCTGAGCACCGCGGCCACACCGTCTCACAGTAGTGTCGTCCGCAGAGCAGCTTCTGATTGGACCAGAAGTACACCAGGTCTGCCAACCCCTGGTCACACTCTGCACACACAAAGCAGGTGGGGTGCCACAGGGCATCATGATAACCAGCTCGCTCAGCGTAAACAGCCGGACTCTCCATGGTAACGTCACCGTGGCAACCTGTGCACTGCTGTGAGAAGAGAAGGTTGTGAAGCACATTACTGCAACAACATGATTCAATATACAAAATGAAGCTTTTTCTAAAAACACGAGACTTATGTAATATTTTTTTCGTTGTTGTTGTTGTGAGTTGTGTACTTACATTATCCCAAATGTTTCCAACACCTTTTAAACCTAGAGTAATCTGTTTTTGTTGTCAATATCATGGTCCGTCTCTATCTCCTTTGCATGTCTAAGGCCACTCCTTTTTTAAATTCTGGTCGTTTAAAATATATTTTAACTGTATGAAGGATTATAATCATTGGACTCTGGAAGTTTTAAGAAAAATAAGCTCAGAACAGGTTAGCCTTTAGCTCGAAGCCCCTCTCTCCAATGTTACTGGCTTTAAATGCAGAACTGCTTTATTCAATGTTTTTACCTTATTTACTCACCTGGACTGTTTGTTTTTTAGAAGAAGAGGCCTTTTTGGATAATATGGCTTCAAGTTCAAAACACTCAAAAAATGTATGTCTGTATCTTAGAAAAATAGTTATTTGCTCTGTACTTTGTCTACAAAAAAGCAATTTAAAAAAAACTGATTTTAACGTAATTTTACCAGTTGTATTCACTTAAACATTTAAACTGGGAAAAAGCTACTTGTTGAAAACAACAACTCCCATGATCCCAAGCTACTTAAAGATGTCACCAAACCTTGTCTTATCTAATTGTTGTAATAGGCAGACACCGATGGAAGAAAATTATACACTTTGGATATGTTCCTTACATATCCAGTCTTCTTGCTGCAATCTGTTCCGTTAGTGGAGCCGTCATCTGAGATGTTGTTGTTGTTGGTTGAGCCGTGGTCCTGGTGCTTCAGAGCATCCTTCTTGTCGCTGTTGCTTCGGTCCTTGGCCTCCTTTGCCATCCTCTGATTGGACGCTTCCCTCAGAGCTCCACCCTCGCCAGGTAAAGCCACCTCGCCGACTCCCAGCACCTCCTGCTTGTAGCTCTGCACAAACAGCAGCATGGCGGAAATCTGCAGGAGGACATCAGAAAGTAAGAGATATCATGTAAAGGAATACCTTACTAACATGTTTGATTTCTGGTTCTCCTTTTTAGTGACTACATTTTTTTATAAATAAATAAAAAGAGAAGCTGTGTGCAAATATTCATCACCTAATACTTTTACAAATCATTAGCTGAAAGGGGTGTCAAATACATATTTTGTAATCATTGGTTCAGTAAACAAATTAGCCATGTGCTTTTTGGCGTCACGGCACTGTGGCACATGAAGCTCATGAGCCATGTCAAACTAGTTAGCTGTAGGTCAAACTAGTTAGCTGTAGGTCAAACTGCGGTTGAATGAGCGTGGATTCATCACAAACCATCCTAAAAGGATGACTTCCATGATAGTTTGCATGTTGTGTCATTGCGTTGCGGACGTTTGCAGCAAAGAAAAAGATGCCATTGACAGACGTGCTAGCACAGATAAGCACAAAAGCTGGTACCTCTTCACTTGTTTTTCCATGAAGCTTCATCACCTCAAGATGATGATGTGTTTTGAGTTTGCAGGAGTCAGAGAAGCCAGGATAAAAATGTAAATGATCCCAAACCATCTAAACTAATCACCCTAGGGTTAAGGTATTCATTTAAGGTATATTGGTTAGTTTACATACAGCTTAAGAAATACATAGTGTTTGGAGTGATGTACCTCCTCTTCGGTGGCGAGGCTCTGACACTTCATGGGGTCCTGATCGTAGGCAGGGAGCTGACCGAGGAGCTGCCTGTGCCGCTCCAACGCTCCGTCTGTCCCCAAGACGGGACGAAGACTCTCCGGGATGAGCTCCATGTACTGCATGGCCTAAAGAGGATCAGGGGGAGTTTACTTTGGGTTAGTTTTACTGCAGCTTTTCATTTTACAGCAGCTTGCATTTTTCACTAGTTGTTAGTATGTTGAGTTAAGAATTGTCTGATGAACTTTCAATGCCAAATTCATCATCAAATGTATCATAAATATAGAACATGGAAAAAAAGGAAATATGTAAACTAAAAAACCTCTACCTCACAAGTTCAATTTATCGACATTTGTACTTCTATTGCAGTCTGTAAAACATACTGTAAGACATATGACTGCCTAGCCCTTGCCAACATAGCTTGTTGACTTCAGATTGACTTGAGGAAATGTTCATAATACTTTTTGAGATGTAGGTGTTGTCAGTGACATAACTGTGGGTTGTCCTTAAGATAATGACTAACAGTATACAGCTGCAACAAAGGTGGACAAACAATTCATAACTCATGTAATTCATAACATAGAAAGCAGTTGTGAATTACATACTCTGTTACAAATAAGTAAATATAAAGTCCTGCATTTAAAGGTTTACTTTAGTAAATGTATGAAAGTAAAATGACTCATTGGTGCTAATATTGTATTATAATAAGTAAGTAACTAAAGATATTTGCCTCTGAGAATTAGTAGACATACAGTATAGTAGCAGGAGATGAAGTAGAAGTATTTTTTGACTAGGTTTCTTACTCGCAGCATCATTTAAAGTGGAAAAACATTAGGCAAACAACATTTAGTTTTTAGGGGAAGGTTTTCCAGACCGCAGCTCTCAATAACCACTGTCATCCTTATAATGATAGATGTGAAACATGAAACATCTGTCTAATGACAACCAGACGGCCTACACTGTTCAACACACAAAGAGCTGCAGAAACTAACCATACTGATGAGTATAGTGATCAATCCCATTGCTAAACCTCTAGGATGGGGGAAAAAGTTGTTTATGTTTGTGAGCATGTGCATGCACAAAGTAGGATAAAAACAAACATGAAAGACAAGGAACTGAGGACTGGTCTTACATTTGTTCCAGATACTGATTAGTCAGAACCAGAACACCAATAAAGTGGTGCAGGAATGAGCCCTGAAACCTGAAATGAGTTGGCATTTTAAGCCCCCGGGTTGCTTTGTCTTAAGTAAGTGTTTTTTTGAAAGTGTTTTTGGTTAGCAGCCTGAAACATGGTCTATGGTTAAACAAGCTGAAAAGATTTTAACGTTTTGTTCTACAACATGAAATCTGTCTGTAAATACCCCATAGTGAATTTCGGTGGTTGATGACAACTATGAGACTGCCTAACGTCATCATGTGGAAGATGAGTGTGCCTTTAGTTGAGTGCTGGGGATGCAAGTCCTGCAACCGTTTTGAAATTCGGTTATAGACAATTTACTCCTTGCTATTGCATTAAATGTTACAAGTTTCATAAAATGTGTGTTCATTTGTGAGACATTATATCAATATTGATGTACAATATCACATAATGTTATGTCCGTAGCTGAAGTTACTTAACAAACTGATTTATTTTAAACACAAAGCATTGTCCTTCAAAGTCCTCAGATCTCAGCCTCAAAGAAAATCTGCTATAGAAAATGTGACTTTACAAGCTTTCTCAACTTCACAAGAGCATCCAACTTCCTGATCTTCCCACGGATCCTCACCAGTGTTTGGTGGAGTCCGGCCGGCGCCCAGTCGTACGTCGTGGTGTTGAAGGTCGGGTCTTTACGCGACACCACTGGATTGGTCACGATCATGCGGTTCCTCTTGTATATGCGAAGGCCACCGCCTCCTTTGACTTTCACTGTCAGGTGGGAGCACGGGGAGTCTGAGAGCAGGCGTCCCATTCGCTGGTCATCTTCAAGGTCACTCCCCGGAGCATGGTCCACCGCGCTACAGCCACAGCTGATACAAGCTTTTCTGCACAGGTAAATGAAGAATAAGTAGAGAAAGATATTTAAGGAAAATGTTAATTCATCGACTTGCAAAGGGTTTTCTAAGGAAGAGCCAATGTAGGTTTTTATTAAAAAAAAAAACAGGGATGAGGTAATGTTTTGAAAAAAAAATTGGAAATTCTGAAACAAGAAATAAACTCGTAAACTTAGGGTTTTGTCACGGAGCCAAATCGCTTTAATATAGGGAAATTATGTTTTCAGTTAAGAAAGTGGTGCAACGCTAATGGAGCTAACAGTAAACAAATGAGTGGGACATCATCCCTCATGGTCTTCCCGGCTTTAGAAACTGACAATTAGTGTTTTGGTGTAAGAAAACAGACATCTTTCTTTTGTCCATGTAGTCTAAGCTTGTTGGTGCAGAACAGCAGACTCTCAACGGGCTAGAAGTTTGCAAAACCACCAACAACTTCCTTTAATAGCAGAGAGTCGTTGAGAGAGCGAAGAGAAACCACAAAGAGTGTGTACAGCATTCTTTTTTTCTCTCTTCTTTTTTCTGGCAGAGAGAAATGATAATAGAATAAAAAGCAGTATACCTCCAGGAATGTGGCTGGTATCCAGAGCAGCTCGCCTCACATACATGGCAAACGGCTGCCCCTGCTGTACTCTGCTTCATAGACATCTGAAACAAAAACACCAGTCATGATACACATTGTTTTTTCAAACCTCTCTTTTCAAAACCCTTTTTTCAGAATAGCTTTTCTCTTGAATCTCTTGTATTTTCTGCTATTTATCATACCTCACTTTTCATTATTACTGAAAACATTACATTTTGTGTATTGTCTGTTCTCTTTATGTCTTTGTAAAACACTTCATAACTCATTTCCAAAGGTTAATACTATAATTATTCATATTATTATCATTATTGAGGCTAACTCTGATCCTGTGAGGTACAGTCCATTAGGTTTCTACCATATAAGAAACCTAAATTAAGAACATCTAAGATCAGAAGTCGACCTGAAAAAAGCCTAAATTAAGGTCCAAAATATTTGTACAGCAGGAAAATAAAGTGTTGGAATGATGAAAATAAGAAATGTTTTCTTCCATAAGTCAAAAATAATGAAACACTTATCTCATAATTGAAATGTGTTGACTTTGTAAGGTATGAGTCTGGGGATAATCTACTTTGTATTACTGTACTGAGTGTATGTATAAAGACCTGATCTTCTGTGCCATAGAGCTCCATCGATGTTCCAATAAACACATCAACAACCCACACTGTTCCACTAGGTGACATGAACACACATATTCTGCTCTCTATTTGACTTAATCCCTTTAAATGCACTTAAATTACAAAAACAAAATGAAAATAAAGGTCTGATATGCGGCACAAAGCTGGAAAACAAAATGCAGTGCTTATTCTGCATTGTTTTCAAGTATTTTCCAACTAGAAGTTTTATTTGAGTAAATTAGTGCTCCCCAGATCGCTTAAAGTCAGTAATAGTCGATGGTGTTCTACAAAAGTCGTAGCCAGTAGGAGCTGAGGGAAACAGATAGAGGTTTGGTTTTTCTTTGCAGCATCAGCCCAAACAACAATACCACATGTGAACGCTTGACGGGAAAAGGTTGAAAAGTAATCTGTTGCCAATTTAGAGTGAAAGTGAAAGTGAATAAAAAAAAACCTGAACCTTCATTTTTGACTCTAGATTCATAAAATATTCCACCAACTTCTTTGGGGTGGCGAAGCCAGTGAAAGTTAGTGTGAAAACGTTTGAGTTTAATTATCCAACATCACCCCTAAACTTAACCTGGAAGCACTGAGCCAAATTAATTAATCCGCCGCTGAAAATAGTCCCCAACCAATTCTCTATTTCTAGTTTGTCTGTTAAATACTACAGTGAACAGCTGTTTTAGGAAATTCCACCCAAAAAGTTCAATCTCCCAGGAAAATGATGTCCTGCTTCAAGTCATTTAGCTTGAACACAAAATGCAGTGCTTCCTGTGCAGTAAAGTGTCTCTGAAGAGTTAAGATAACAGTTCGGAGTAGTGACGATTATTCTGACATGAGAGCACGTGATTGATGGGAAAGAAGAAATGATGTTTCTAACTTTTTTGAGTAAGTGTGGGAGGAAGAAAGGGAGTTAACACACACACACACACGTATAGTGGATGATCTCATTGCTCCACCCGGTGACATCATCATTATCTCAGTACTTATCAGTCCCTGTGCTCCATTTTGTATTTTCCTCCTTATCCTCCTCAGTCACACTACAATCATAATATATGTATATCTCCTTCAGCTTTTTCACTATTTAATTGTTTTCTCCTCTTTCCTGTAACTCACATTTTCTAAGCTTTCTTGTACTTTTATATATACAGTAAGAAGAAAAGAAAAAGCCCACTATCCTTTTCCAGACTACACTTCTAGTATAAGCATTAGTCACAACAAACATTTGGTCCATTTGGGTATGGGCACGTCACTGTACCCAGGAAGAAAAAGAGAAATCTCCAACGAGGCGCTCTGGAGCAGCATAGACAGGTCTTTTCTGTGTTAGAGTTGTACTCGCTACAGGGTGGACTTTGAGGGTTTGTGACCCTTCAGACCGTTTACATGCAGAAAAACCTTCCTAACACACAAGGGGATGGGTAATAACCGGAAAAGCATGAAATGGGACCTTTAAGTACGATTTTGAATGCAGAACCTTTACTTTAATGGAGTATTTTTGACATGATGTATACTTTTACTCATTTAAAGCTTCTGAATACTTCTTCCACCACTAGTACCCACAACTTTCAAGCTAGCAGTTATGGAAGACTGGTCATCACAATGACTTCAGAACAAATGAAAATATTGCACAAACTAATAATAGTCTTTTCGACTTTTGATTTTTTGATTGCTGTCAGGACTTAGAGAGTATTTAAAACACATAACACTCCCTTTCCTTAACACAAGGTCAATTGAACTGTACATGTGTGTGTATGCAAGCTAGGGAACAATACTCAGGGATAATGAGTGACTGTTTCAAAATCCTCTGGCAGGAAACCTGATGACTGTTGTGCTAAATCGCCCTGCTGCTGACAGACCTCTCCTCCCATCCATCTGTCATTTGGGAATAACAAGCTCTTCAGACACCTCAATATTCCCTCTATATTTATATATAGAGACACACACTCCTCCACAATAGTGACCTACAATATGAGCTGCTGTTTCACTCTAACGACAGTCATTCTTTTGTTTTGCCTCCAGCTAACACTATGATGTCATCATCACGCGGCACTGACATTTGTTTACCTAAACTTAAATCTATGAGATTTTCTTTCATCTTCATCATCATACTCCCACGAGGAGAAACAGACCCAGACCGACAGTCACTGGTGTGAGAGAGGACAGATGAGTGTGTTTAGAGGTATGAAGAGAGTGTGTGTAATGTGTGTGTGACGGTGAAATGGCTGTTGATGTGTCTGTGTTGAAAAGGTCAAAGTGACAGCGGCTGCAATAGAAACAGCTGAAGAAGAAATGTCATTACATCCCTCAGGAACACACTAAATGACAGAACGGGTTTATAACTGTTAGTGTGGTCCTAGCAGTGGGGGAAAGTAGCTACATTTACTCAAGTACTGTATTCAAGTACAATTTCTAAAGTATTTTCTTGAGTATCTACGTTTTGCGCTACTTTAAAATATATATTTACAAGTATTAATCTAATATTGAATTATGAAAGATAAAAATTCACACAATAATATAGTACTATATTATATAAACTGCCCAGCAGAATATAAAGTCATTTAAATAAGCTCCGTTATCAGCTGCAAAATTAAATAAATGTATCATTGTCACCAATATTGTAATATTCTTGAATTTGGCCTTTCTGCATATTAGTCCTTTAACTTTTGGTAATTTAGGTATATTATGAAGCTAATACTTTTTTACTTTTACTTAAAGAGGCTGTATGATGCTTTTCAAAGTGTTCCCTTCCCTGTAGTGTGCTATATATATATATATATAACATCTCTAAACGGTTGACCAATCACAACAGATCCAGCAGCTAACCTATCAGAGCAGACTGGGCTCTGGTTTCAGACAGAGGGTGAAAAGACAGATAAAAACAGTACGAGACAAATAAAGAGCTTTTTGAACATTAAAACCTGGAGACATGTCCCAGTAGAGGCACTAAATACAAATATGAAACCCTGGGCCCGTTTAAGACGGATTTTGAATGCAGGACACAGAGTATTTTTATTTTTATTTTGTGGTTCAAATACTTTTATTGAAGTGCTTCTTTCATTGAAGGTTACCAGGAAGTAAGTCTAAAGATACCTCCCACTAAAACTACTCTGTTCCTGTAGAAAAGTCAGACTGTTTGCATAAGTGTGTTTTTGTCGGAGCGTCTGCTCTCACTTTGACACTGGTGGGAGTCACAGTGAGAGCAGACGTGACTCAAGAGTTCCCCCAAACTAACAAGAAATAAAGCCGCTACTCATCCTGCATCACAACACAGCACGTCATGATGTAATGATGAGTCGGAGTTACATTGACAGATCTCTACATCATTCCTTTGTGATTGCTAGAAGTTCTAATTTACCTGTGAACACACATCCAAATAAGAGTTTCCCAAGTGTCCTTTTCCCATTTTTTCTGGGGCCTTGTATGTCTCTTTGTGAAGTTGTATTATCATATTGTCCTATCTGTGAATATTTAGAAGTAATAAATTAGGAGCATAATGGAATCATAACACACATACACTTCATGAAACCAGTCTCACACAAAGGCCTCTAACATAAATGACTTGTATTTGGGGAAAAAAGGGGGCATAACTTTAATATAAACTTAGTTTTTACTGTATTAATTGTGTGAGAGTTTGTAAACAGATGTTTTGATATAGTTCCCCAGTTGGTAAGCGTGGCTCCCAAATACTTCAATTCGTCAACATTTGTATCTGTTCTTGTTTCGAAAACTGATTGAGTGGCATTGCCCTGTTTGTCTTGTTGCAAATGTGGCATTATGACACACAATCTGTTGCATCTCGTTATGTCTGGAAGGAAACAAATGTATGTAGCAAAATATTCCTATATCCACTGAAAATTAGAATAAGTGGCATCGAAAGTTCAAAACAGGCCAGAATGCTGACGCTTATACTAAGGTGAGTTCATCGTATCTATTGAGCTCTTATATTCTGGTGTGTGATGTGTGTCTTATCTGCAGCAAATAACATGTTGTCCTTCTAGACAAAATAACTGTCTTTTGTGAAAGGAAATTAGCTATTATTAGATTAGTGTTAGATTAAATTAAATGTAATGATCCCATATTGGTAAATTGATTTGATGCAGCAGCACGTTTAGAAGGCATTGCAAAATGAGTCAAACATGTGATAAAATGTAACTTCTAACCCCAAAATAAAAAATGTATACAAATAAAAAGTGGAAGGATAATATACAGAATATAATAAGTTAAAATAAACTGTATTAACCAACCTACTACTGAAACATAATATATAAAATGGATATACATTTTACTGGTGTGCAGTTGCAGTTTTTTTAATTACAATGAAAGTGCAAGGAAGTATAGTTTGAGTACAATATGTATTTATTATGTATACAATTCATTGTAGTTCAGCACCTGAATCCCTGTACCTCTCTTTCATTCATTTTTTAACCATGAAAGCGGAACAGTTCAGTATTATTAGCTGCTGAGCGTCGGCCAAATAACACCAGCCAAACTATAAATGCATTTTTTCAGAAAGAGGGAAACGTGTCAGCTCTATATTTAGGAGTGAGATAAGGTGAAGCTGAGCAATGTCAAACATGTCGGCTATGTGACGGTTACAGCAGGAAACGCTGAGATAAGAGGCTGGAGGTCAAAGAAGCAAACAGTGACCCTCTTTAATGTCCACAACTCTGTCTCATGGCATCATGGGTATTTCCTGCGCTACATAATGAGCTGAGATTTACAGTAAAGAGCACATTCACTATTTGAAAGTGTAAACAAAAGATACCAGGGAGAGAAAGATAGGATTGTTTCCTATAAACTGTATGTTAAAACACATTCTTTCTTTGAACTCCTCTGCGGAAAGGAATCCATTCTCAATGTTTTTTGAAAAAGGAGCAATTCATCTTTCACTGCCATGACCATAAAACAACCAAACTACAACCTTTACACAGGTTTAACAGGTTGTCAGTAAACGTTCTTTGTCCCTGTTACATACATACAATCTGATGATTATTTTCAACTTAATTAAGCAACTTATTCTTTATCAGAAAAAAAGTAATCAGAATTGGTACAGTGCAAAGTGATGTTTTTATATGTTTTGTTTTATCACTCCAAAACCCAAAGACCTTGTGTGTGTGGTGGGTTATTTCCATCCTGGTGATGGCAGTTTTTCCAGCAGAGGGATAGGGAGGATCAGGACCCCCCCTCCCCCCCGACAGGTGACACTGATCCGTCAGGTTGTCCTCCTCACACTGAACTCTAAGCAAACGACCAGAGGACGGATCACAGGACGGATCTGAGCGGCGCCATAACCGACCCAGTGGGAGGATCAGGTCATGGTGGATTACCTTCACTGACCGAACTACACATCTCCAGCTGTTTGAGAACAAGCGTGGGAGATTATCCAAGTGACATAAACATATATTTAAGAGTCTAATGCGGGTCAGAGAACCGACGTGATAAATACAAATCAGAGGTGGAAGAAGTGCTCTATTACTTAAACAAAAGTAATGACACCACAGTGTAGAAATACTCTGTCACAAGGAGATGCTCATTTGAATATTTCATGTTCTGATACCCTGTGATTTTCTGTCCTTATCTTAAAGAGGTTCTATTCTTCTTTTTGGGGTTTCCCTTCCCTGTAGTGTTCTATAGGTTTTTGTGCATGTAAATGGTCTGCAAAGGCTCAAATCCAAAAGTTCCCTCCGGAAGGAGGTTTTCTCCCACACACTCCCCCCCTGCATGAAGCGCCTCCATTGGAATCTATTGTTTACTTCCTGAACATAGTGATATCACTACGTAACACTTGTGCTTCTATTGGCTAGTTCTCCAACACATTGTACATGATAGGCTAAGGGGCGGTACATCGCTAGCGGTTGACAAATCACAACAGGGCCGGCCAGCTAACCAATCAGAGCAGACTGGGCTCTGGTTTCAGACAGAGGGTGAACAGAGGTGCTGCAGCACAGGCAGTATGAGAAAAATAAAGAGCTTTTTGAACATTAAAGCATGGAGACATGTCACAGTAGTTGTTAATTGTATTTTAAATCAAATAGGGAAATAAACCAAAGTTAACAAAGTAGATGGAGTAAAAAGTAAAGAAATTACCTCTGCAATTTAGAGTTGTAAATGTATAAAGTAGCCGACAATGGAAATACTTGAATAGAGCACAATTAAATTAAAATTGTACTTCAGTACAGTAGTTAAATAAGTGACTGTCCACCACTCTTGGCATGTTGATGAGAGGCAACTTAAAATGCCATTAAATCATTTAGCTTAAGTAAGTTGGGGTCATCTTTGAGTCTATTTTATTTTTTAAGAATTTATCCAATTGGAAATTGCAATCGAAAAATGGCCCCTGCGTTGGACACCGCTTGTTATAAAAGAAGGAAGAAGTCGCTGCACTGAGAACACATTTTCTTTGCCACTGCCCCACTTCTTTAGGAGACTAGCAGCAGGTCTGATTTGATTAACTCCAATGAGAGAAGTAACATGGAAACAGTTGTTGACCTGTTCCTTTGCCGCACAATCAACACAATAAATATTAGATCCATATCTTAAGAATATTCTGATGCTGAAATGGCATATTTCATACGGGAACATTTACTTTGTTTAGACATTTTTCTCTGAACAAGGTCTTGCGTGACCTGACAATTAACATACAAGAAAAAAATGGAAGAGAAGACATTTCATAAAAAAGGGTGAAGAAATATCACAACATGTTGTTAAAATACCTCTGGAAAAGCATTTAAGTACATGTTGCTGATAATACTGCTTGTACTTGAGTCATATTTTTGAATACTGGAATTGTACTTCTAATGGAGCTTTTTAAACCATGGCGTTTCAGTACTTTTTCCACCTCTGATTTTAAAAGCAGCTCAAATCCTACCAGCTGAGATAGAGAGAAGGTTTATTGAAGTGTCTCCAGACCTCCATCAATAGAATATCTACACCTCTGAACCTTGACCTCCTCTCTGTGCCGATGAACATCTGGAAGTATTTATGAATAAGAGTCTCAGCTGCACAGATGTAAATGCTTCCTACCTTCTCCATGGCTGAGCTCACGTCCATGTCGTCCGGAGTGTGTCTGCTCCTTCTGCCTCTGCTCTTCCAGAACAATGGGGCTTTAAATTCCTCCCCTGTCGGCCACACTTCCTCTCCCCCCGCCCACACTCACTCCTGCCGCCGCTCCTCTCCACACCCCCGTGCCATTTAACCGTCTAGACTTTCATCTTCTCCCTGCTGCAAAACATCAGCTTGTCTTTTGCCTGTCACTGCAAGGTCTTTTTCTGGTCGCACTTCACTTTCTTTCCCTTTTTTCTACTTTGATGAACTTGCAACACCTTTCTCCTCTTCAGCTGTGGACTTTATTTCCTGTTTTCTTTGTTTCTTCACTCTCCCCTCCTGATTCGTCCTGCTCTACTTCTCCACCCTCTGCAACATGAACTCAGCAGAATTCTTCACCTCCTGATTCTTCTTTAAGTCTCCACTTTCTGCCTTACAGTGAGCTACTTTGTTCACCTCTGCTTCTCTTTCTGACTCTGTTTTGCTTTGTCAAATATTACAGGTTCCCGGGGGAGTAAAGTTGATTTACTAAAGAACTGTACTCTCTATATATTATGGAAAACATTATTGATGCAAGTAGCTTTTAAATATTGCAGCCAACTGAGGTAGAGAACGTTTTTACACTTTCTTATGTCCGGTGGCTTCATTTACTGTATAACATTTGCTCGTTGTTTTATAAGACCATTATAGGTTTTTTAAACTCTAATGTGCATGTAAGTAGTAACTAAAGTTGTCAGATACATTTAGACAGCTACGAAATTGGTATAAAAATGTAAAAGAGTTGAAGTGTATAGTACTAGTACTTTCACTTTTAAAGGGGGCATCTAAATCTGGAAAAACTGGTGTTTCGGCTGCTGGATTTGGCACCCTATCTCTAACTTTGGCCAGGATGGTCATCATCTCACCAGAACCAGACAGGTGTTAGTTATTCTAGTATAAGCAAACAAAAGCAATTTACTCCGAGCCTATCAGCTGAAATATTAAGGGGCCCTATTATTCTTCTTTTTTTTTATGCAAACATGTATGGCATATGGCTGTCTAACAGAAGTTAAATCCATTTCTAACTTATTCTGACAATGTACTTAACCCCAAATAAAAGAACCCAATAAAAAGAGTTGTTAAATAATAGTCAAGTCACGTTGTAATAACAATAACTCATCTCTCTCTCGTTTTATTTTTCAGCTTTGCCAAAAGCCACTGTGTCAAGTGTCCTTCCTGGGTTGCCGTCGTGAGTTCTCCAATATGGCGGACCATCTTGCACATGCGCAGTACCGATCGGGCAGGGGGACGGATCGGGTAGTGACACTTGTCTTTAAAATAAAAGCATGCCAAATAGGCTAGTTGCACAAGATGGCGTCTATCAACTTCCGGCGGCTGGGTGTGCGGTTGTAAACTCCCGGTCTAAGGTGTGGAGTGGTTGAGCGGGTAGATAGCGATAAATAGATAGATTAGTTCTACTTCGTATATGGCTTCGCCCTCTAAGGCTATCGCTATTGGGTAATCCCCCTGCGCACCCGCGCAGCACTGAAACACTTGTAGTCCACGCCCACCCGCAAGGTGGGCCCCGCCCTCGGGCCTCCTTCCGGTATAAATAGGAAGGAGGCCCGGCAATCTGCTCCCTCTTTTCTTCAGCAAACCTCGGCAGTTACTGAAGCACAGAACCATTAAACATCATGAGCAACAACTGTGTCCGAAATTGTCCCTCATGTGGCTCAGGATATATCATGAGCTATGACCAGCACGCAATGTGTGAATCCTGCCTGGGGCCAGAGCACGCGGACGTGGCTCTCAGCCAGCAGGGCGCTTGCTCACATTGTGCCCGTCTCCCATCAGCCGACAGGAAGCGAAGAGCGGACGCTCTAGCTGCTGCGGTCGACGAGGACGATTGGCCCGTCCAGCACGTGGACGGCAGCATGTCCCTGGAGCCGAGTGCCGGGCAGGAATCGGACGACTCCTACCTCGTCTCCCTCCATGGTTGCGCGTGCGGTTCTCCCC